AGTCAATCAATAAAATAAAGAATCCCTTCAGTCACTCTATCACTCAGACCTTATCTAACACAGTACTTCCTAACATACATGCCCTAACTCAATCTCTATCTTCTCATCCTAGCTAATCTCTCACACATCATGCGCTCCCCCCTTATATACATAGCTCCACCTCCTGGAGTCCCACCTCCTGCGCTGCTATAGGCAGTTGAGCTCCAGCATAACATCGATAGGCAGGTGACGTCATCGCAGCCGTCACAGTGGGTTTATCTGCGCCTGCGCAGAGGTTTCCGGAATCTTCTAGAGTTTAACACTTGTTCGCTAGTACACGTGGTCCACCCATCGAGGTAAGTGCCTCAGTTCTTTTTTGCCACCACTGAGGTTTCTTCTCTCCAGCGAGCTCCGTTTGCTACTGCGTTCAGAAAGAACTTTAGTGATAGACTTTCTAGTTATTTCCTTCTCTGACCGCCCCCTTCCCCTTTCCCCTTTTTTCATATTCCCCACGTCCATTTTTTGTTTAGTTTATGGCCTCCTCTGGGCTGTTTAAACGGTGCACGTCGTGCCCCAGAAAAATTCCTTTGACCGACGGCCATGACTCTTGTCCTGTCTGCCTTGGCAAGACCCACCAGCTAGCTTCTTGCCCTTTTTGCAAGAAATTTACAAAACAGGCTATTAAATTGAGACAACAACGTCTCCATTCTTATTTGTGGGACGCTCTCTTCGCCCTATACTGGCTATGAAGCCTGCAGAGCCTCCCCCGGGTCATTCAGCATCTCCACACGCTTCTGTGGCCTCTTCAGTGAAATGGGAATCTAAAGCGATGTTGACTTCTAAGGCTAAGGCTGGTGGCTCTACACTAAAATCCACACTGGTACCGAAGTCTCCTCCTGTACCGGAGCAACAGTTGATACTGAAGGAATCAAATACAGTACTTATATTTTGAGTATGCCTAGGAAGCTTAAAGGTCAGAAATGGGACTATTAGCAAATAATTACCGTATTTTTCGCACCATAAGACGCACTTTTCCCCCACAAAACAGGGGGGTGGAAAGTCTGTGCGTCTTATGGAGCGAAGAAAACAGGTTATATTTTCCTGTTTTCTTCTCCTAAAAAATTGTTGCGTCTTATGGAAAGGTGCGTCTTATGGAGCAAAAAATACGGTAGGTAAAGGGAAAGGTTCCCCATGACATTTAGTCCAGTCGTGTCGGACTCTAGGGCACGGTGCTCATCGCCATTTCGAAGCATTTGTCCAAGGACAGTTTTCGTGGTCACGTGGCCAGTGTGACTAGACATGGAACGGCGTTACCTTCCCACCAGGGTGGTACCTATTTATCTACTCACATGTTTACATGCTTTTGAACTGCTAGGTTAGCAGGAGCTGGGACAAGTGACAGGAGCTCACTCTGTCATATGGATTCGATCTTACAACTGCTGGTTTTCTGACCTTGCAGCACAGAAGGTTCTGTGGTTTAACCTGCAGCACCACCATGTCACCTAGCAAATAATTAGAGAACCTTTAATTTTCTTTTTTTAATTATTATTTTTAATAACTTGGGATAGGGTAAGGGATACAAAGAGTAAAGGAAAGAAAGGTTGGGGTTATGAGGAAGAGGAGACACAAAAATATATTAACATCCATTCTACTCACATCATCCCTAAATTCTATTTCTGTTCTTCTACTCTTTTCTGCCTTCTAGATTTTAGTCCACATTTTGTTCTAAATTATTCAAACATTGTTTGGTGATTCTAACCATTTGTAAAATAAGTACCATCTTTTGGTTGCCTTTTGCAAAGGACAGTCCTTCATTACTTCTGATAGTATGTCCATTTTTGCCGTTTTTCTTATCTTCTCTATCAAATCTTCTTGTTTCGGTATCATCTGACTTTTCCAGTTTTTAGCATATAAAATTCTAGCTGCAGTAACTATATATGTAGCTATAGCCTTCTTTGCTTTATATTATCTGGTATCACAGACAATAAAAACAATTAATGTATATATATTTTTTTAAAAAATACTAGGGCTTATTTTCAAGTTAGGTCTTATTTTGGGGGAAACAGGGTATTGGTGGGGTTTCCCCTCATTAAATATGAATTCTTGAACATGAAACGTTGTGCTGATTAGAAGAAAATTTGTCAGATAAGAGTCTCCGGACCATACTTGTTGCCATTTTTTCAGAGCTGGGTCTTTAATTGGACCCCAATGCATTCAGTGAATATTGCTTTTTCTGCTGTTTGGTGTCTCCTTGACAAGAAAAAAAATTCAATTCCTAAATTTCTGTGTGCTGGACTAGTTCTACAAACAAAGGGCCAAAGCCAATTGAAAAGAGAAAACCAGGACAAGGCCATTTTACAAATGCACGAACAGATGATATCTTTATTGGACCATTAAGAAAAAACAAACAAAAACAATGCGAGCTCTCAGTGGTAATTCATCTTCCTCAAACTGTGCACCAAGTTCTCATGGGTAGCTCCAAAATTATGTTTGCATTAAAATCCCCAGTTTTATGGCCAGTGTTAAGGGCCAGATGTAACTTGTTAGATGGTGATACAGTAGCTGTAGTCTGCAGTCTGGAAGATGCTTGTGAAACGCTTCTTCCTACCTTCAGGTGTATTGTGAAAGAGATGAGCATCTCAGCATGTATATTTATTACAGTCTAAAATCTGTGCAATGCATTCAGGCCGAAATATTTTATGGCCTGTTTCAGGAGCTGTGCAAAGAAGACATAGAGTGACAACACATTTAGTAGACATTATGATAATTACATTCAAATCATCTATATCATTTTTCCATTACATTATATTCAGCCATCTAAAACTTTATTGTACATTGTTCACAATGCAGGCATTTATAAAATGTATTATTAATCACATTTAATTAATGACTGTAGAATTTTTATCTGATACATACCAATAATTCATGGTGTATATTGAATATATATTTTTGGTCTGTTTCACAAGTCCACTAGATTACTGATAAGCTAATGAGAGGAAGAGCTCATATTCTTGCTGCAACTGTCATTCAGGGACATTCTGATTAATCTGCAAACTGCTGGCCTGCAAATGTATGACCTAAGGAATGTATTTAGGAAATGTTGCTGCTAAAGAAGGGGGACAAACTCTAATTCTTCATTTAGACTTCAGTGAGCCAGTGTACATTGCTTCCCACGAAATGACTGGCCAACTAGGTTCCTGGTCTTCTATTCTTAATGATTCTGAGATGTTCCCCTTATATGTAGCAGCTTAAGCTGGGTGAAAGCCGGCAAGGGTGAAAGCCGGCAAGTAGATAAATAACCCTGCACCATGCAACAATCATAAGACAACTTCTGCCCTAAAGTTGGGCACCTGGAATTATCAGACAATGACCCCTGGCTTTTCTGACGACCTGCAGGAAATAGACGACGTGCGCAAGACAGCTGTCATCAACATGGAACTGGGTAGGTTGCAGATGGACATTGTTGCCCTGCAAGAGGCGAGATTGCCAGACATGGATTCTGTCAAAGAAAAAAAATTCTCATTCTTCTGGCAGGTTCAAATCCCAGGTAGCCGGCTCAAGGTTGACTCAGCCTTCCATCCTTCCGAGGTCGGTAAAATGAGTACCCAGCTTGCTGGGGGGGCAATGTGTAGCCTGTATAATGAAATTGTAAACCGCCCGGAGAGTGCTTGTAGCGCTATGGGGCGGTATATAAGTCCAATCAATCAATCAATCAATCAATCAATCAATCAATCAATCAATCAATCAATCAATCAATCAATCAATCAATAAAACCATTGAATAAGACCAGGATATATGGTGTTGGCTTTGCGGTCAGAAATACTCTGCTGAGATCCATTGTTCCACCTACTGTGGGGAGTGAAAGAATCCTGTCTCTTCAGCTCCACTCCTCAGTGGGACTGGTAACCCTCATTAGTGCATATGTACCAACACTGTCGTCCACAACAAAAGTCAAAGACAAATTCTATGACCATCTGGCAGCTACTATCAAAAAAATCCCCAAGAGACAGCTGCTGTTCATTCTCGGAGACTTTAATGCTAGAGTTGGTGCTGATCACAGTTATTGGCCCACTTGTCTAGGCCTTTCTGGCATTGGGAAGATGAATGAAAATGACCAACGCTTGCTGGAGTTTTGCTGTTATTATGGTCTTTGTGTCAGCAACACATTCTTTAATATGAAGCTTCAACACAGAGTTTCCTGGAGACATCCAAGGTCAAAGCATTGGCATCAGGTCGATTTGATCCTCACTAGATGCTCTAGCCTTCCTAGTATTACGATCACACACAGTTATCAGAGTGCTGATTGTGATACTGATCACTCCCTGGTATGTAGTAGAGTAAAACTGCGAACAAAGAGATTGTATCACACGAAAAAGGAAGGAAGACCATGTATTGACATCAAAGACAAGTGGAGAAGAGATGTTACGTACCTGTAACCATGGTTCTTTGAGTGGTCCTCTGTGAATCCACACATCCCTCCCGTCCTCCCCTCTGTCCATCACGTTGTCGTCTCTATTGACCTTTCTGAGAGCAGCGGACTTTTTGGGAACTGAGGAGACTTCAAGTGGGCGGAGCATGCAAGGGACCTTGCAGGATGATTTGGAATGGGAATCCCATGGAGAAAAAAATGATTCACTACAGAATTACTCAGTCATGGCGATTAATGGAAATATTTAACACAGTGCATAATTAACTTGCATAAGCCAGCACAACTCAGAATACAAAATGACACATATTCAAAGAGATGAATGATACCAGTGATTGCCAATTGTGATGGAATAAGATGCTGAGACCAAAGGTCATTACCTTCATACTTTGCTCTTGATTTACCAGAGTGCTAAGTGTGACTGGTCTGCTTTGAACAAATGAAGGATTATGTGACTTTTGGGCAGCTTTAGGAAAGCATTTGTGTCGTTAGAAGGCAAGCCTTGTTGATAGAATGTATCAAGTGATTTTATTTTATTTTTATTTTTTTGAGATTTACTACCGGTCCATCTAATATTTTTTGCTTGGTACTTTAGGGCAGAGCTCTGCTGCACTGGGCATGTGACAGAGGACACAAGGAGCTAGCTGCAGTACTGCTACAACACACAGCTGATGTGAACAGCCAGGTAAGGACATGAGACTATGATAATTGCACTTATTTATTTATTTATTTATTTATTTATTTATTTATTTATTTATTTATTTATTTATTTATATCCCACCTATCTGGTCTATACAACCACTCTGGGTGGCTTCCAGTATAACATATACAGTGGTGCCTCGCTTTACGATTGCCCCGCATTAAGACAATCTTTTTGTGATCGCAATTGTGATCGTAAAACGATGATCTGAATGGGGTTTTTTCACTTTGCGATGATCGGTTCCCTGCTTCGGGAACCGATTCTTCGCAAAATGATGATTTTCCTCCAGCTGATCGGCGGTTTCAAAATGGCCACCGGGTAAATAAAATGGCTCCCTGCTGTTTTCTGGGACGGATTCCTCGTAAGACAGCCACCGAAAATGGCCGCCCTATGGAGGATCTTCGCTAGACGGTGAGTTTCCAGCTCATTGGAATGCGTTTCAATGGGCTTTTTTCGCATTACGTTTTCGTTCTACAGCGATTTCGCTGTTACAAATTAACGTAATGCGAGACACCACTGTATACATTAAAAAAGGACAAGAACATTACAACAACAATCAATAATAGATACAGTACAAAATAGAGTAAATAATAATAGCAAGAAAGAAAAGAGAATCAAGTGTTGACAGGAGGGAAGGCCTGAGTGTACATCCATGTTTTTAGTTGACTTTTTAAAGTACCCAGCGTGGGGGCCACGCGAATCTCCGGAGGAAGGTTATTCCAGAGGTGAAGAGCCACCGCCGAGAAGGCCCTATTTCGTGTCTTTTCCTTCCGGGCCTCCCTTGGTGTCAGGCTCCTCAGCCTCACCTCCTGACTTGCGCGGGTGATCCGGGTAGATCTTGGTGGGAGCAGGCATTTATTTATAAAATAAATAAATAAATAAATGATGGAATCTGCTCTTTTTACACAGGCTGTGCAGAGTGGCAATTGCCAGGTTTCCCCTTTCCCACATGACTGAAAACCCAAATTTTGCAGCCATTGCTGTAGTTTTACCTGCTTTCCCACCACTGATCAGAAACATGCCTTTTGCAGCTGATGTTGTTTGCTTTGTCTCTTCTCCTGTATTGCCACTGTTTGTGATTTCTTGTTGCTGTTGCACCTTTGCTGGCTGGAACAAACACTGAGTCATCTACCTATGGATTTAAATCCTCCCTTGTCTTACTTCTTCTAAGAAAATGTTCTTCTTACCAATAAGCGTGGGGGTTTGCCTGTTTTTTGGTTTTGACTAGAATTGTCATGGTTGTGAGAATAATTTTTGTACAAGTAATGTAAAAACTGTAGCACAAAACTATGATAGCTGCTGCCTTATTTCATAGACTTTTAAAACTTGGAACCAACAGGTAAGTTGTTGATAATTTTTTTAAACAATAAGCGAGGATTGGTTGGTTTGTTTTTTAGTTTTTTGTTGTTGTTTGCTTTTCGTGTGTGTGATTGCTCCCTCTCTGTGTATGTTTGCTTAACTTCACATAAAGGCAAAAGACACTAGTTTTACACAGACATTTGTGCACAAATTGTAGAATTCTAAATGAAAAAAATATTTGGTATTTTATTCCTGTGCTAGATTAAAATTCTTCATTAAGGTGTCTGGTTATGTTGACACAGCCAAAATCAGCAAGAATGATGAGTTTATCAAATGTTGTTTATATCTCCACATCCATTCTGTCAAAGAGTTGTATCTTGTTTCTGGGTTTAGAAAGCAGAGTTCAGAAGCTAACCACCGCAGAAGCCTCAAGGGATTAGGGGACTGATAAATTCAGTCATTAGGCTCTTTACAGAGTGCCTATTAGAAAACTACCGGTATTCTAATCCATTGTGGCTCCCATGGAGTTTAGCTGCTTCCAGCCAGAAACATAATGGAGCCTGCATTCTACACCTGTGATAAATTGAAAACAAATGTCATATCTAGAGATGGACGTATTTTTATACTTATCCCCCCCCCCCCCACACACACAGGTGAACACTTTCCCTTCCTATCACTCTGGAGTGCTCGGTCAGCCAGCCACTCTTCGATCTGGCAAAGAGGCTTATCATCCTGCCTCCTTCCAGGAGTGGCTAATTGACCGTGAGCTCGGGAGCGATAGGAAGAGGAGCCCTCAGCAGCAGTGGATGGTGAGTGGACAGTCTGGCCCCATTATGTCTACCTGGGGGGCAGTATTTGTATATGAATGCTCCCGTGTCTAGTCATATCCCTAGTTTATAATTATTTGCCTGGGGTGAAGAAATGAGATTCATGCAGAGTACTGATTTTATCTTAGTCTCAGGAGCATCCTTAAAAGTTAAAATTATATTTTTAGTTATCTTTTTAAAAAGATAGAGTAAGGTATGTTAATACAGTGGTGCCTCGATTTAAGAACTTAATCCGTATTGGGACTGCATTCTTAAATCAACACGTTCTTAAATTGACACAACATTTCCCATTGAAAGGCATGGGAATGGGATTAATCCGTTCCAGCATTTAAAAAAAAAATACCAAAATAAAAATAAACAGCAAGTCCCATGTTGTGACTGCAAAAAAATCACAAACCACACAAACATAACCCCCCAGTCCAAACCCACCCTCCAAACCCCACCCAGGACAGTTTTAAAAAGGACTTACCAGTCCAAAGCCCCTGGGCGCTCCACTGCCTCCACTGCGGCTGGGGGCAAGTGGTCAAGCGCCTGGCCAGCTCAAGGCTCCCGGTGCTCCGCTGCCTGAGGGGTGAGCGGCCGGGTCCGAGCGGCCAAGCGCCCAGCCAGCTCAAGCCTCCCAGTGCTGGGTGACCACTGCCTCTGATCACGGTGGCAGGGGACCCCCGGGAGGTCTCCGATGGATTGGCAGTATAAATAAAAAGGTTGTTAATTTTAACAATAGCTATATATAGACATAGGGAACGTCAACACTCATACTGCGCCGGCCTTTCTATCAGCAGTTATATAGGCTCCCATAAAGAAACCAAATATTTGCTGTTAACTTTGAGGCCAAGTAATAGAGTGAGCACCAGCAGAAAGAAAGCTGCCTGGTATAAATCAGATCTGCAATATATAAAATGCTGAGGAGATTTATATATC